GCCGCTGCCCGACGCCATCGCCGACGACGGGGGCGCCGTGGCCGCATCGCTGACCAGCACTTCGCGCAGCGCGATCGGGTCCTTGCCCCGCAGCTCGCCGAGCGTGCGCCTGTTGCCCGCCTTGTCCTCTCCCAGCTCGTCGAGCTCTATCCGCTTGGCCTGCAGCGAGCCGGGCGGCGGCTTGGGGTAGTTGACCGTCACCGCGCCCGCCGCCTGCGCCAGGGCGCTCAGGGCGATCTCGCGGTTCTCGCTGCCGCGGCCGAGACTGCCAGAGAGCAAGAGGTAGGGCGACTTGGGGATGTGAAGCATGTGGAGCCCGGCGGCGCAGATGTCGGCGGGCGAAGGGGCCAGCACGACGCGGAAGTAGGTGAAGTGCGACGTCCAGGGCGTCGAGGCGGCCCGGACGGGTGAGGTATCGCCCGCCTTCCGCCCGCCATTCGAGGGGTCCTCGACCTGCAGGAAGATGTGGTGCTCGAAGTAGTGGGCCAGCTCGGTGCTGAAGCGGCCGTGCAGCTGGTGGGGCGCGAGCTTGTCGAAGCCCTTGTCATTGGAGTCTGACGCGGGGGCCGGTTTCGAGATGAACAGAGGTGGATGTCAGGGAACGCCGACGTCTTTTTCGAGCATCGGATCGGGAGCGGCAAGCTGCGCACCTCTTGCGTCGTCGTAGACGAGCTTGACGGCCGACCAGCTCCTGCTGGTCCTCCTGTCGGCGCCAAACAGCAGGTCGACCTCGGCCACCATGCCGTAGCTCAGCCCATCGACCCAGTCGACGGTGAGGATGCGCTCCACCGCCCTGGTCTTGGGCACCTTGGGGTCGATCATGAGCGCGGCCCAGATGAGTTCGAGCGACTCGAGCGACCTGGCCCTCCTCTCCTCGTTGAGGTCGAGGACGGCGTGGTATCGGAAGGTGGCCTCGTCGGCGATGTCCGCCTGTTTGGCCGGCTGTCGGCGCGACAGCTTTGGCGGGATGTGGTATGCCCTGCTGGCGGAGAGCCATCCGAGCGCGAGGCGGACCAGCTCGGCCTTGTCGAGGCGGGTGAGGAGGCGGCGGAGCTGGGGCGAGTGCGGGACGAGCTCGGCGTCCTGGTGCGACGCGAGCGTGGACCTCGATGTGGACGCCTGGACGAGCATTGTCGAGCGTGTGTCTTGCGAGAGGCTGGCTGTATGCGCAGCGGTGATGGCGGGCCGTGCGGTGTCGGCGGTGGTGGTTACGAGGTGGGAGGCAGAGCCCGGCTGTTTGGACGGTAACGAGGCGCGAGGTGGGCCAGACGAGGCGGCGTAGGCGACCCTGGAAGTGGAGCTGGCAGGCGGGCCAGGCATTAGGCGCAGGCGCGGCGTCTGGGGCGCGTCGCGACCGCCAGGCTTCCTGGCTTGCGCTGTTTGAGATCGGCGCAAGGCGCCCGATCCGGAGCGAGGACGGAGGCCCAAGCCAAGCCAGGCCAGGCAGCCCAGGCCAGGCCAGGCCGAGGCGATCTGCGGGCGGTGACGAGCCCAACGTCGATTCTTCCGGCCGCACCCTCGCACCTCCTCTCGATCCGACCACCACCGCCGGCGCTCCCCTTCCCATCTCTTCGTATCCTTGTCCACCTTGCACACTCGATCACACACCACGATGGGAGCAGCAGCATCCAAGCAGGACACCGCGCCGCCCAAGCCGGCCGCACCAGCCGAGACCGCTTCGGACGACAAGCAGGCCCACCCCCTTCAGGTGAGCCGGCCCCTCTCCCTCCTCGAGCCTGATCAGTGACCGCGCGCCGAAGGAGCGCCTCTGAGGGCAACACTGACCTGCTGCCACCGCATCACCTCTTCTTGCATGCCCTTCGCACCCGCGGCACCAGTTTGGCCGCTCGCTGCTCAACTCGCTCGACAAGACGCACGTCGAGGGTCCCAGCGCGGATCGCCAGGCGACGCTCGACAGCTCGGTGCAGCAGCGGATCAAGTCGGAGCTCGACCGCCTGCGCAAGGAGGAGGCCGAGGTGCGATCGCAGATCGAAAAGGCCATTGAAAAGGAGAACCTCGAGCGCGAGTCGAAGCACAGCGGAGCAGAGGGCAAGAACTCCAACGTCCTCAGGCAGGAGCTCGACGAGGTCAGGAAGAAGATCGAGAGGCACAGGCAAAAGTCCGACATCTCGGCCTACGCCGGCGTCAAGGAGGCTCAGGAGCAGCTCGTCAAGTGCTACAAGTGAGTCGATCCATCTGGTCGACCAGTCCCGCGCCAGCCTTGATCGGCCCAGGCGGCCTTTGCTGACCACTTGCCCGCCTTCTTCTTGCGCTCGACGCCCTTGACCCCAGATCACAACCGGAGCGAACGCTCGACTGCTGGAAGGAGGCCGAAGACTTCAAGGCCGCGGTCGCCAAGGCTGAAAAGGTGCGTTGGCAGCCGAGTCATGGCATTGCATCGGTCCCAGTCCCAACTCGACTCGAGACTCACCTGCGTATCCGCCATCACTTCCATCTCATGAAACCCCAATCGTCCCCACGCTGCAGGAGTTTATCGCATCGTTCAACTAGACGGCGACGACAGGCGGCAAGGCTGATCGGCCGCTGCGGCCGTCAGAAGAGCGCGCTGCGGCCTGGACAGTTCGTGCCGAAGCGGCTGGCGCAATCAGACATCATCCTCTCGATCGACGTGGGCTGTGTTGACGACTGCGCTTGCATGTGGAAGTCTCGAAGCGAGCGGGCTAGTAGAGACGGGGGCGGCAGCAATTCTATGGGAGCCATCTCGCCCGGTAGACGACCTCGGGCCGCTCGATTTCGTCGCGGCTCTGGACGATGCGGAGCTCGCGCTTCCTCATCCGGTTGACTCTCGCCTCTGCCGGGTCCTCGGCCTCGACCTGGACTTCACCTTGGACCTTGCCGTTCGTCGCGGTCGCAGCAGAAGGGGACTGGCGCGCCTCCTCGGCTTCGAGCCTGTCGATGGTCTCCGATGTCCGGGCCAGGATGCCCTGCAGCGAGGCGATGGCCAGCTCGGCGGCCCGGGCGATGGGTGTGAGCGACTTGACGCCGTTGGCCCCATCTGCGGTTGCGGCCCGCTCCTGCGCCGTCTCCTGCGGGCGGAAGCGGCCAAGGGTCAGGGCGGCAAACAGGTCGCCGACGCCCGAAAAGTAGCCGTCGACCTCGGGGAACTGGATCATCCAGACGTCGAGGTCGTCCGGCCCATCTGGCGGGGCGGTGGCGGTGGCGTTGGCGGTCGAGTTACGGGCGGTGGACCGGGTGCGATAGCTCGAGCCGACCTGGAGCATGGCCGTCTGTCCGTTTGGCAGCGTTGCCGTGGCGCCAATCTTTTCCAGCTCGCCCTGGGGCAGGGCGACCGAGGTGATGATGACGTGGGGCACGCCGTGGACGTGGTGGAGCGTCCAGATGACGCGCTTGAGGCTGGAGAGGTCGGTCACCTCGAGGCCGGTGAGCACCTGGGCCTCGAACTGGTTGGGCGTGATGATGGTCGAGTAGGGCAGCATCTGCTTGTAGACGGGCAGCACCTCGGGCGCGACGTACATGCCCCGTCCGATGTCGCCCATGACGGGATCCAGGAGGTAGATGAGGCCGCCCTCGTCGTCGTCGTCGTCGTCGTCGTCGTCTTCGCCGCTTGCCCCGTCGTCAGCACCGTTCCGGCCGCCGTGCTGCTGCTGCTGCTGCTGTCGCGCCTGGGCCGGCGTGCGTGCGCGCAGCTTCTTGACGAGGTTGAGGACGTTGGTGACGACGGCGGCCGAGGGCATGTACCCGGTGAGCATGCGGCTGTACCGGAGCAGGCCGTTCTTGTCGAGGCCGTCAAAGAGCTGGTCGAGGTGGTCCGAGTCGAAGCGCAGGCCGCCCCATCGGCCGTAGCCCGTGTGGTTCGAGAACTGCACCGTGTTGGCCACGTCGACGTCCCATCCGAGCAGCTGGAGCGGGAAGGTGGCCGCCCGGTTGCCTGGGAAAGGGCCAGACGATCAATGAAGGCGAGGCAAGGCAGCGGAAGGTCAGTCGAGGGATCGCCGAGACACACACACGGACGGGCCGAAGTAGCACGAGACCGGACGCTCTAGGACGGAAGGCCGGCCAGGCGTGACTTACCGACGTAGCCCGAGACGACGTGGCTCTGGATGCTGAGGATCCGGGATGGATCCGGGACGTTGGCCGACATGCTTTGCGAGGCTGTGCGAGCGGGGGTGCAGGATGGGCTGCTGTCGGTGGATGCGGACGGTGGTCTAGGGCGTGGCGCCGAGGATATGGTGGGGCCAAGGAAGAAGCAGAGGTCACCTCGAAATTTAAGGCGTTTTACGCTCTCTCTCTGCCGTGGCCGTTCGGCTGGGTTTCTCGGGACAGCCGAAGGGGGCGTGGCGAGGGGCGTGGCGGGCCAACGCCGTCGGCTGTCTGTGTGGAGGAAGTTGGAAGCAAGCGGCTGAGCCAGGGCCTCCTTCGCCTTGCCAAGCTGGCCTTCTCTCCTGCCTCATCCTCCTCCTCCGACCACCATCACCACCACCACCACCACCACCACCACCACCAACACCGCAGTCCTGTCTCGCCATCCTGTCGGTCGCCGCACGCCCAACATGGACCAGCAAGCCTTCCGACAGCTGCTCGCAACGCCGCGACCGGGCTCCGCTTCCCAGTCGGGCTCAGGCACGCGCGCCTTTGGCCGCTCCAACAAACGCTCCCAGCCCGCCGCTGGCGATGCCGCCTCGTCGTCCAGCACGACACCCTCTGACCTGAGGCCGCGCAAGCTGGATGCGGAAAAGGCGAAACGCCCTCCCAAGCCCCGCATCAACCCGCTCACCGGCGAGGCGTACGTCGACCGCGCTACGGCGAGGCGGTCCGGAAAGGAGTCCGAGTTTGCCGACGTCGAAAAGCTGCTGGCCGACTTTGAGGCCCGCGCCGCCCAGCTCGAGACCGAGGAAGAGCGAGAGGAGCTTAGGGAGCAGATCAAGTACCTCGGCGGCGACGAGAAGCACACGGTGCTCGTAAAGGGCCTCGACTTTGCCCTGCTCGCCCAGAACAAGGCCAGGCTCGAGTCCGAAGGCGGCCAGACGGGCGACGACGACCTGGAACGGGCATTCGAGAGCGCCAAGTCGGGCAGTGCCGCTGCGGCAGAAGAGCAGACTGCCTCGGAGCCCGCTGCGGGCACCAAGCGGTCGAGGGAGAGCATCCTCGAGGCGCTCAAGAAGCGGAAGCTGGGGCAGTCCTCGAGCAGCTCGAGCGGCGGCATCGCCACGCAAGGCTCTTCGTCGGCCACTTCGTCCAGCAAGTTTAAACCCATCGGCTTCAAACCAATCGGAGCAGCGCCATCTTCCTCTTCGACGACGACGACGACGACGACAGACGACCCAGACGTCAAGTACATCAACGGCAAGAGGATGCGCAAGAAGAAGAAGGACAAGAAGCCGGATGCTGGCAGCGCCGTCGGTCCATCGCAGGATGAGCGGGCAAGCACGAGCAACGCCGGCAGCAGCAGAGTGGCGTCGACCTACATGCCGCCGCCACCGACACCAGCAGCAGCGGCGGCGGCCGGTGCAGGCTCGACGCGGCGCACCGGCGAAGGGCCCGCATCTCGAACGAAACAGCCTGACTCCGCTTCAGGGGCGACGTCAGCATCTCCACCCCCGACATCGCCAGTGCCTGCCCGGCCCTCTCCAACGAAGAAGGACGGGGACGTCGAGACAGCCGCTGCTGTCGGAAAGGAAGCTGCATCTTCGAAGACCGAGGCGGGAGCCGCTGACACAGGCGCTCCTCTGCCTGTAACCACGCCGGCTGCGAGTGGGGAGACCGCTGCTGAAGTCGAGGACGACGAGGACGTCGACATCTTTGCGGAAGCGGGCAGATGGTCCGGTCTATCGGACCAGGAGAGCGACACAGAGGCGGCGGATTCGGCGGCGCCGGCGGCATCGGCGAGCCCCGGCCGGCCGCAGCCTGCAGTTGGGAGCGGCCAGAAGCGAGACTGGTTCTCGACGAGTGGATCCGCCGCCGCCGCCGCCGCCGCCACTTCGGAGGATGAGAGGCACCACAGTCCTCACCGAGCGGCGTACGACGACGGTCCGACCGCACGTCCCTCTCGAGGTCCGTCGCACCACGACGACGACGACGACGACGGCGACGAGGGAGAAGCAGGAGAAGATGAGGAGGGGGAGGAACGACCGACGAGGCTGCAGGGCTTCAGCGACTCTGCGCTGCCGTCTGAGCTGACGCGGGCGCTGCTGGAGAGGGAGAAGCAGCGAGAGGAAAAGAAGAGGCTCAAGGAGGAGGCGTGGAAGGAGAAGCGCAAGGCCAAGAAGCAGAAGAAGGAGAGGGGAGCACAGCCCGACGACGAGGCGGCGGGGGGCGATAAGGGCGAAGAGGGAGAGGAAGAGGCGGACGAGTAGGTCCTTTCCATCCTTGCGGCAGGCCGAGGCCGAGAATCGAGAGATGGCGCCACACGAGGCGATGCGACACGATGCGAAACGCGGTGCGATGACGATTTAGCGGCAAGGAAACGACGGACGAGCATGGTATACGGCTATAAATACAAGGCTCGAGGCCAGAGGGTCACTGGGAGGACGAGGCGACGCTGCTGAGGATACCGACGCCCTTCCTTCGCACGACGTCGAGGCAGGCGGCGCAGCCGGGATGGACGAGGACGAGCTCGGCACGTACGTCCTCGACCTCTTCGTCCTCGCCACGTCGCTGATGCCGCTGCTGCTGCTTCGACGCGGCAACGTCACCGCCAGCGCCAAGGTTGGACGAGAGGAGGCCGCCGTGCAGCTTCGGTCCGCCCGATGGCAAGGCGATGGTCACGACGTCGCTGTCCGGCGACGGCCGAGCAGGCACATGGTTTGACGAGTCGATCGGCGTCGACCCGCGCCTCGAATCGGCCGCGTCGGTGCGGGGGCCCTGCTGCTTCTCCTGCTCGAGCCACTGGTCAACGACGTTGATGCCGCTCGGCTTGGAAAGCGTCAGGTCGCACGCCATGCAGTTGTCGCAGTCGACCTCGGTGGCACCATCGAGCTGGCTGCTGTCCGCGGCTGTGCCCGCCGCAGCGCGACTAGGAGAGGTAGGGCGCGGACCTTGGCCATCTTGGGTTCCCGACAGCCCGGCGGCTGAGGCCGACGAGCGCTCCAGCTGCTGTGGGCCCGCCTCGTTGCCCTGGCAGCTCGGGCAGCGGCAGTTTGCGCCGCATCCGCACCTTGGCGGTACAAACTCGCTCGACATGTCGACGGCCTGGAGCAGCAGCTCGATGCTGGGCGCGGCGGGCGAGGCCGCGGATGGCAACGGACCCGTTCGGCAGCCGGG